TTTTTGTGGTGAGACACGTTGAGGGTCTTCTTGAAGCCACTCTTTACTTGAATACCTTCAAATAAAACAAAACATATAAAATTATTTGTTCATTTACCAACAAATTTAAATTAATTTAAAAATTGAATATAAATATACCTTGGATTTAATGAATAAGCCAAACAATGCAAAGGTGTGTTGCTTTTGCTCCACTTATCTTCAATAATGGTATAGACAATGCTTCAAAAAATTGAGTCTTCATCATGTGACTTTCTTTCATATCTGTATATAATTTTTTTCACTTTTGCTAACATAGAGTCCCACATCTCATAAATCAAATATAGGCATGATTTATCTGTGTCAGCCTCTCTCAACATATCATAAATTGGATCAGTGAAAGCCAAAATATAGTCTACATTATCCCACCACAAATCATCTAAGACCTTTTCTTTAACATATCTTGCATAACTTTTTAGGTCTACTTCTACCTTTCTTAACATAAGTTGAATCTAATTGATGTGATGCGATGAAGAGTTACACAAGAATTTAAAAGAGAATTAAATTTAGCTCCTCAAATTATCTAATCATGCATCAAAGTCAGTCAATTATAAGTAATTCGCAGCGTTCGATTTGCTAGGCAAAGAAAAATACGACAATGATGCTAGGTCTTTAAGCAATTGCAAAAGAAAACGTAACAACAAAAGCTAGTAAATAAAATCCCAAGATTAATACCAAGTTGTTCACACTTTGGGGCCTTTAGCACTCTCTTCCTACGGAGACTAAGTTGAATGGCGGAAGATTGTCCACGCTAGCAAGGAGGTTGCCACTAAGATGGAAGCTTGAACGGCGGAAGATTGTCCAAACTAGCATGGAGGTTGCCACTAAGATGGAAGCACCAAGGAACGTTGCCGTGGAAGAGGATCTCGGAGGCGGAAGAGGCACGGTAGATCGACCTTTGATAATCCAAGTGTAGACGGAGAAGTGTTCGTCAATGGAGTCTACAAGCGTCGGCAATATTCAGTCCAAATATTCTTCGACGGTATCGTCGAAGTCAAATCCGACGTCAAAGAATTGTGATCGCAAGATGTTGACTCTTCCGTTGCGGTCGTATTCAAACCCGTAGTTCCACTCGGGTTCGTCCATGCATCCTTGGAGTGGAGCCGGATGGTCGCCGCAAGTAAGATCTTCCCAAGGAGGGCAGGTGGGGCGGCGGCTTGGCTAAGGGAGAGGGGATCCGGCGGGAGAACAGGGAGGTAGGCGGGCTGGGTGAGAGAAAAACTGAAGTTTACTTTCAGTTTTGTAAATTAGGAGGGAGGGATTGAGGATTTGAAATTTCAATTAATGTAATTAATGCATTAATTGAAAATTTCAATTAAGGAGAGATTATGGGGCTGATTTTGTAGAGCATTCAATTTAATTTGGGGAGAGAGGAAAGCCATTCAAGGGCCGGCCATAAATAGTGGAGAGGGGCAATTAATATTAATTGAGTGGGCCATCTAGAATATAGATCACGGTAGTATCAAATCTGAAATTTGAAATTTTCAGATTTGTTCTACTAGGAAAGTTTCATAACTGTTATTAAGCCATAGGAGTCGTGGCATATAACAGGTAATAAAGAAAAATTAATAAAAAGCTACTTGCCTAATTGAGCCCGCCGTAGATTAGGAAAGAGTTTGGATCATTTGAAATTGAATTTCAATTCAATGGAATAAGGCTGGCGGGCTGGCGTGAGGCGGGCCTGGAAGAGGGAGTGGGATCGGCTGCAGCTTGGTAGTAGGAGAGGAATTGGTCAGCGGCCAATTTCTAGCCGGACAAACAGAGTCGGCAGCAGGAGGGCAGTGGGAGAGGATTTCAGGGCTTGGAAGCAAGCTGTAAGCTGTGGAGAAAACTTGGAATCTTCTAACCTCACACCTCTTCTTCAAGATCTCAAAGAGAGATTGCAACGATGCCGGAACTCACATAGAGATCCACGGAATTCCCTCAAGAACTCACGAAGAGAACTAGGGAAATGGAGAACTCACAAAGAGATCAATAGTAGAAAATTTCATTCAATAATTCATTAGTCCTCATACAAGATACAATGGCCATATAAATAGGCTCCAAAGAAAATAAAGTGCAAAAGTCTAAAATGCCCCTTGGGGCTACAAAAGCAACTACTACCCTCAGGGGTAAAATGGGAAACTATAAAAATAAAAGCATAATATAAAAAACTGATGGTACAAGTAAAATCAATAATAAAGGCTCGCAATCATGGTCGTCGATCTCCGTGGTCGTCTCTGATGGACGCGCCGAAATCTCCTATCGATGACCTCATCAAGAAGTTTTTTTTTTTTTCAATCTTTAATGGTAAAGTTTGAAGACCTATAAAGATCTAAGGGTTCTATTACAAACTTGGTTGCAATTTTGAAATGTGACTACCTTGCTATCATCTGCAAACAACACTATCATCTGAGTCTAAATTTTTCCTTAAATTATGTACTTAGCAGTACCTAGTTAAAAGATAGATTAAAAAATTTCGGTTGGTATAAGCAACCTGAGCATTGTGTACACAATTTCTTACAGTTTGACCACATAAAATTTCAAATTACAAAATATAAGGTATTATGAAAATCTGCATCTCCCAACACAAACCACACAGCTGTGCTTTTGATGTATGACATCAAGGTTGAATGAATGAACGGTAGAGCTAAGATAAGAGAGTATTTAGAACATTTAGATCAAATAGATACAGTGCTTCACCTTAATAATTTTATTTCTGTTACTTGGCAGGCCAAGCTCATGAAGCTTCATTTTTCCCCAGTTCTCAAACCAATGGAGCCCAACGCATTCTGCAAGCATGTGTACAACAGCAGATCGTGTGATTATATTATCAATCTTCTCTTCGCCAAGAACAACTACAGGAAGGCTCTTCATCCTGTACTTCGAGAGCAGCAGAAGCATAGTTAGAAAAGAGTCAGATTTCTGCAATGCGAGGAAGGGTGCCCAGCGGAATGATCCCGAGATGTCTTGAACCTGTTTACAAGTTACAATGCATACAAGTAAGCCCAAATACACAAAAAATGTTTGATATCAAGAACTATATTGTGCGGATGAAGAGACAGGACACCTTTGTCTTCTTATAGAAGTCTGAAGTTATCAGAGTTTCAAGAAATGTTCCACCCATAGAATCAGTTGCTTCAAGAACAGAAGTTGTTATTCCATCATCTTTACTCTTCACTTTAACACTGTTAAGCCTGGCTGCGATTCCTTCTGTGATAGGCCCTTTTATAGGAGAGCCAGCACCTTTCTCACTGGCTGCCAATTCTGACTGCAAAAGGTATAATAAGATGGATATACATTTCAATTGAGCAGTTTAGCTAACCAACCTGATGCAGAAGCCAGACAGTAATCCCAGCAAATTCTACGATTCCAATGTATCTATCAATCCAACTAGCATTTTTCGGAGCTTTTAAATTTCTCACAGGAGCGCTCATAATCTTATTCTTAGATAGAATTTTGACAGCATCAGCCAAGCTGGAATCTGAAGGTATCTCTATGACTGGATGCAAGTTTCAGAAGGAAAAAAGAAGAAGTCATTTTTCATTTACATTGTGAAGTTCATAGAATTATTAGAAGACTAGAATATTTAAAGCAAGCATAAATAGTGTCATAGTTCACATATGCAATTGTTTTTCATGTTTTAATATACCCGCATAGTTCATAGTTGAACATGAAAGCATAAATTTATTGATGATTATGGAAAACGTGAGAAACTTGGAAAAGATAAAATTTTTAGGTCAAATCTAAGTAGTATGTATAAGCATTAATAAAACCTTCACAAGATCATTATCTTGCTTCCACAGTATTCATATTGGTAGGAGTCTCATTAGATATGCTCAACAGAACTCTCAGACAAGGGAAGACCATCCTTAATGAATGCCTTGCACCTTTGAAGCTATGATATCTTAAAAAGCAATAAAATAGAGGGTTTTATCAATCGAGGCTTCTCTTAGACTTGTATTTTATCATCTATTTTCTCATTTTTTTCATTATCTCTATAAATAAACAAAATTAAATGATCTAACAAATGATAATCATTTATTTGATGCTATGGGGGTTGTGAGTCAAGACTCTAGTAGAAGATTTCAATTTTTCAGTAAATGAGTCTATGGTCATGTATTATAATAATTATGCAGCCATATATATTATTAATAACTTTGCCTTTCATAAAAGAACAAAACACATTAAGATTGATTATCATTCCCCATGAGATGTTATACTTTTCAAGAAGTTTATTACTCATCCTTCCAATTTAAATTAAGTAGCAGATATCTTCACAACCTCTATATGTCCTCTATCATTTCTCTGCTTATTTGACAAGCTAAAGCTAGTATAAGTGATAGTAAATAAAATTAGGAAATCATTATATATGGATAGTATATATTTTGATAAAATATGCATTTACTCCCCCTAAATTAGTTTTATTTATCCTTTATTTTCTTTCTATTATATTTCTCGTGTTCTACAAGTTCCAAGAAAAAAAAATGATGTGAGAAATTAAAACAAGTCGTGCACAAATATAGATGCTCTTATCAATTGAGGCTTCTCTTGGCCTTTATATCATGCCATACAATAAAACAACCTAAGGAATAAGATTCCAATAAAATAAACTGAGAGAGAGCAGAGACAACAATTGAACCAGGATTTATAAAGTTGATTTAGGCTTCATTTTGGACAGCTTTCTTACTGCTTCTTAAAACAACTTTCTAGTAAAAAATTTACTAAGAAGTTGCTTTAAAAAGAAAGTCGTCCCAAACGAAGCCTCCTTAGAGGGTTGAACCAAAAAGAGTTACTCTAATACACCAAAGGAGGAGTGTAAAAGGCAGAATTATATTTTTTTTTATAAAAAACATAATAGGCATTTATGTGATTGCCATGTGACTTGTTTGGGTGAAGTTTTGATATAAAATACACATATGTAATGGCATTTTTTTTGGCAATTTATTTAAGTAAAAATACTTCATCTGATACTCCATACTTTCACAAATTCAATGTTTACTAAATACAGAAAAAATGATCCCACTTTGCAGGAATTTACATTGATTTATGCTCATTAAATCAAACAGCCTCAACAAACACGCAACTGTGTCTCTATCTCATTGATAAGAATATTTAAATAAAAAAGCATTCTTTGAATGGGAATTAAAGAGATTAGAAAAAACATAAGCTTATTTGAGACACAAGAAAGATTCAAGCATTCGCATGGTTACCTTGAGATGAAGGGGCTTGTGGGAAAGAGGTCACGAAAATACTCTCAAAGCAAGAATTGAGCTTCTCAGAGGGGCTGAGTTGCGGCTCCTGGATTTCCCATAGATCCTCCACTCGCATTCCCACCTCCGCCTCCGGGCTCGACCTAGCGCTTTCTGGTGGGCTCTCCATTTCTTCTTCTTCTTATTCTCCTTATTAGTCTTCTTTCTCTTTCTATCTCAGAGTTCGCCGTTGAGGATATCTGGAGAAATGGATCTGCGAGGAATATTGCCGTCATTCTCGTTCTTAGAAGCCCCGAAGAAGGAAGCTTAGTGACAAGTGTGAAGTGAAGATTGATTGACGGGGGAATTGAAGTGGAGGGACACAAGTGGCGCAAAACCCGAGCTTCTCTGCGGGTTATTTGGTTTATACGGGCCGGGTGTGGGCTGAAAGTTGGCCCGAACCCGACCAATCGACTGAATTTTAGCCGTCGAAGTGGATAGTTTTCGGGTCCGATTTTGACCCATCTTAATATGTTTATTTACATACTTAACCAATTATGTCGACTTTAACGAGGACTAAAATCACTGTCAAAATTGTTTGTTATTTTTCAAATATATATAACAATTTATAATAGAATTCTAATGGAGCTTAATAAAATTATTTGAGGTGGACAAATTTTAGAGAATTCACATAAACAACACTCATTTTATTAGTATTTATATATCTAAAATTTAAAATTTGTTATCTTCATTTTTGTCTTTTAGAGTTAATGTTTGGATTGATCCAATTTTAGGATTAGTGTTACTTTGCTAGACATCATACCCATGTCATTGTCTTTATATTGGTTATAGGTTGATGCATAAGGCTATCCCAAATCCAATTCAAGTGGAATAAAAAAATTCTCTTGTGAAGCACCCTTTTCTCTGTCACAACCCAACTCGACCAGGACAAATCCTATCGTGTTGAGTTGCGACGGCAAACCCTAGGATCTAGTTTTGAAATTTATTTTTAGACTTTCTTCCAATACACAAAGAAATACAGAAACACAGAGCTACTACAAACTTCCAAATATACAGAAACTTATCCATAATTTTTTGCTCTTTCTATCATTCATCAAAATAATTATATACATTACAGTACATGACTATTAACAAAAAGTACATAGCAGAACAGAAAAATAGTCATGACTGTACAAAAATCAAAAGTACAAAATACATATGACTTCCAATCAGATCCTGAATGACAAGTCCAAAACTTTCTTCCCTTTCCTAGAACTTAAAAACCATAAAGATAACCATAGTGAGCTAACAGCTCAGCAAGATCACACTAGCCGATCTAAATTCCCAGATTCACTCATTTCAAAATACTTTAATGAAGATTTAAAAACAATTATTTGCATATCAAATAAATCACTGAACTGAAGCTCATGAAACAGAAATACAAAGCAATTCATTCACTGATTCAGATAGCCGTACAGAATTCAAATAATTGTATAGAAATCATATAATCAGACAGAAATGCAGATATTCATACATAATAGAAATCAAACAGATTTTAGATATTCATACAGAACAAATAATCAGATGGAAATCAAATAATAGATACAAAAGAACTGAATAAAATTCGTATCGTACAAATCACATTTCAGATCAAATTTCAAATAGGATTTCAAATCACATTTTAATTTACATTTCCTTGACCTAGGCAGAATCTCAAAGGATTATGGCCCCTTATGCCTCCCTTCCCTAACACAGATAGAATCTAGAAGGATTCTGGCCCCTTATGCCTCCATTTATACTTACAGCACCAAAACATATCAGATATACAAAATTATCAAATCAAAATTCATTTTCGTATTTCCAAACATAGACAGAATCTCGAAGGATTTTGGCCCCTTATGCCTCCCTTCCCTGACACAGAAAGAATCTCGAAAGATTCTGGCCCCTTATAATTCCCTTATGATATCATTCAAATCACATTTGCACATAAAATATCACATCATAACAAATATGGAGTAATTTAGCACATATCAAAATTTCACCTTTTTCGTATAGCGGCAGACAACAGAAAGCCAATGAATAAAAAATGCACGATTTCAGAAATTTACTAAATTTTCAGATATCGTATAAAAGAACATTTCAAAGTTTTTTTTGTACTGAAGCAACATTTTTCGACATCCAAATAATTTTCTATTCGATAAAAATCTCATAGATTTCTAAATACACGATGCAAAATTTTCAGAAAATATTCAAAACGTGCAGAATCATAATCTCTATAACATACCAAAAATTACGAGGTAAACGTTTTACCGGTGCAAAGTTATACCCATTTTTCGCTAACAGAAACAAAATTTTAATCAAAAAATCCGTCAAAACTCACATTTCTAAAAATTTAGAAAGGTATAATGTGCCTTACCTCGAGTCGATCAACTTTTCTAACTGCGTCGTCGAACAAAAATGGATCGAAGATGCCCAAAACGTGGATTTTCTCCCTCTTTCCTTATATTTCTCTCTCTTCAAAATGAAACAAATCGTGCTTAAAAGATATTTACGATCGTTCAGACGAAAATTTACATTCGTCCCAGGACGATCGGCTCTATCAAGCCCTCATAACACGTTTGTATGGTTGATATTTGATTTTCGTCCCAGGACGATGAGCTCAGGCAAAAAAAATTGTCCAGTTCGTCTAGAAGAACTTACGATTCGTACAAATGAACCTGCACAAAATATTTTTTTTTTCAAAATAACTTGAAAGTTTGCGGGTTTCACATCCTCTCTCTCTCATCCAAGAAGAGCACTTTTCTCCTCCATGATTTCATAACAAGTGGTATCAAAGCCTGGTAGAGATGAGCTCAAGGTGGAAGAAGGTTCTTGTCCAAGACAGGAAGGAGAGGTCGTGTACGGGTGCTCGATTGCCCTGATCGTCGGATGGGAGATTCATCTGCAAATTGCAGGCTCGTGTCGGGCTTATGTGGGGGAAGCTATAGTGCTTAGGAAGTGTTCATATATCAAAGAAAAGCACACACGTACAGCGATGTGAGTCATGGTTAGATCTGGGTCGAGCAGGTCGCATAAAGAAGCGGGAGAGTCGGGTGGGTTGGTGGTGCCAGCAGAGTTGAGTGCAAAAAGATCACGAGCGAAGCACGGGAAGACGAGCAAAGTAGGGAGCGAGCCGAGCTCATGGAGCACTGGCATACGTACGTGTGTTAGGAGAACCAAAGTGGAGCCCGTGAGGGTTGCGATCGCTGGCCATAGTGTGGGAGAGGTGGTCGCACGGGTCACGCGGGACGCATGCTGTAGAACAACCTCGTTCGGTCGGGCCGAACACACGGGCCCTATGTGACTCCCAAGACTGATGGTCGGACCAAATATAAGCTAGATTGTGCAGAGACACGTGTTCGAGAGCTATGTGTAGAAGACAAAGTTTGGGCGGCATATGAACTAGGGATTTTGGTGTGAGCTTTATAGGATCAGGAGCTGTAACAGGCAAGGCGGAGTAAGCCTTGGCCTCACGTGACCATGGGCTTGCCATGATGACACATGAATGGGTTGGATGTGGGTAAAAAAAGCGGTTCACATATGTATGTGGTTGATTCGTGCGTAGTAACGGTGAAAGACTGGTCGCAAGACGGTCAAAGTTGGATCATGTGAACCTAAAAGCGGAATCAAATTTTGGGCCTAACACTAGGTGCGCTTGGCGCGGAGGGAATCGGGTCGGAATGCCGACAAATCAATAAGTTGGGTCATTTGGTTTTGGTGTGTTCGAGTAGTGGAGATAAAAGAAAGATCAAGAACCTCGTAGGGACATGCTAGTCATGGACTCAGGATCAGAGTGGTGGCTCCTGCCGAGTCACATGTTGAAGTGCATACGAGTGCCCTAAAAAGATGGGCGAGCGGAAGGATGGTTGATGCTGGAGCGCGAGCATGTCATATAGGAACAAGTGTATGGTCTAGAAGCATGCATGAGTAGGAAATACACAAAGAAAGAGCATTCAAATCATGGGAGGAACAACGACAGGAGCAAATGAGCGTGGGTTAGAATGCACGGGAGTGCTAGCTGGAGTCATGGATCGGAACACACAATGGAGGCTAGGCACGAGCGGGATTGGGCTTGGATCAACATGTTTTCTCGTAGAGTTAGTGTAGTGAGCAAGGAGGTGCAAATTCTTACAGATAGGTGGTTCTTTGATATTTGATTATAAAATCTGGATAAAGATGAAAATTGTTAGGATTAGTCTAGTTTTAGTTATGATGTTCTACAAAGACACCATGGCGGTGCTAATTCCTATATATAGATGTATAGGATGATGTATAGATATCCCCCTGTAATATCCCATTTGAATAAAGAATAAAGAATTCATGTGCAATATCTTCTCTCTCCTCCCTTCCCCCTCTCTCTTTCAAGAAGCTTAAGAAGAGCCTTTTTCTTCTTCAAAAAATTTTGAACAATTAATATATCTCACTCGGACACGAGGAAGGGGTGGACCATCAGGCTATTTTACTTTAGACAGAACAAAGCAAATTTTCTCTCCTCTATTTTAGACACGAGGTGACAAGCCTCAGCCTTTGCTAGATCACTAGCTATGAAATACCTATCATCAACAGTGGTTTTCTATACTACTAGGTAGTATTCCCTACCTCCTTGCTCTTATCTGCAACCTCAGCCAAACCATATTTGGCCTTTTTGTCATATAGAAGAAATTCAAGTTTTGCTCACTACTTACACCCTACAAATCTCGCAAATTAACTCATTCTAGCCTCACTTGGCCATTACTTCAAATGGTGTCCACCTCCAACTCCCCCAGTGCAGTTGTACATGAGGTACTTATTATCAACAACTTCTCATTTGTCAGTGATGATGGGATTGTAATGAAGAAGGTGAAGAGGGTGTTATTTTTTATGTTATTTAAGGGAAAAAATAATTGCAAATTAACTTCATGTCGAGACCAACGTGTATGTAAAGCTCCTAGGGAAATGCATCAAGAGGTCAACGCTGTGTAAAGGAGCAGGATTCATTATTTGAAGATTTAATATTCAAATTCTTGCTCCTAAATTGTTTATGAAAACTCTTGTAGCCCCCTAAAAAAATTTGGAAAAAATTTTGTGTTAAGTATTATGATACAAATTTTATTTGGATGAATTTGAATTTATTTTGAGATCCATGTAATATAAATTCTTTATATTTATTACTTTTTTTTAGAGCTGCAAATTGCATTAGATAAAAGAGCTAATTACAAGTAATAAAAGGAACACATTCTTTCTTTAACAAACTAAGCAAAGAAGACAGAATGTTGCTAAAAGAAAAGCTATCAACAAAAAAACTATCTTCTAAAGCCAAAGTAGCACATAAATCAGCTACTTTGTTACCATCT